AATGGTTGATTATATTTATTGCCATTATATTCTCATATGACTTTTCAAATGACCCATTATCTGTTAGCCCGAAGTCTATAGCAATATTTTTACAATTAAATTGTAAAATTAAATGAAAAAAAAACTTATTAAAATGTCATTCGTGATGAAAATTATTGAAAAAACTTCTTTTTCTGACATAAAAGCAATTTTTAATTGCAAACGTTTCGAGATGAAGATGAGAATGTAATTCTCGAAAACATTTGCAATTAAACATAAAAATTGCTTTTATGTCAGAAAAAGATGTTTCTTCATTTAATTTTACAATTCATATGACATAGTACGTAATTAATAAAATTTATTTTATTACAATTACGTTTTCGTAAAGTGAGTGTGCAAAAACTGATTTATTGAAGAATTATCTAAATAAATTTTACTAGTCTCCGCATACTCTCAATGGGAATTTCTGTTAATTTACTATATTTATATAGTACTATTTGATATTTAAGTGGTTTTAATATTTATTTTGTGAAAAAAAAAGCTTCATATTTCTTTGAAAACGGTGTCTCACAGATTTGTCTCGGTATCTTGCTGTATTTTTTCTCCAATTTAGACCCCAATATTGACCAAATACATCAGAAAAGAATACATTCTTTGGGTTAACTGCAGAATGAAACATAGATTCAATTCATTTAAAAATGGATTTCATTGTTGATTTGAAGTTTAAGAAATTGTTGGATTTTTTATACCGTTTTCAATGTTTCATAATTAAGTGGTTCAAATGGACCAATAGTGACGCGAACACCATTTTGCATCCGAAGAAGGATTTGCATCAAATCTCGTTGATCCTCTTTTGCCAGAAGATACCATTTAAAATCGTAAAATGCTTTTTGCAATCGTTGGTTCTGCATTAGAATGAATCCTCATCATTTTGTATCGAAAAAGAAAAAAAAATTCAAATTTAATATGAAAAAATTTACTCTGTTTTCGATGTTCTGGCCACTGTAGCAAAGATTAAACATTTGAACATAAGAAACGACCGCCAATCCATAGCCACCAGGATAGCCCATCTAACCATTTAAAAGGAAGAAAGGGAAAAAAATAAATTACCTAATGAAATAATACGAAAAAAACCGTTTGATCCAACTTCATACCATTAATTGGCTGTAAATTGAGACAGCAATTGCGAACGAAAACGATGGCGGTGCAACAAAGTTTCGAGGATACATAATATTCCTGAAGGAGTTGATGTATCTGTGATAATGGAAAGGCGAAAAAAATTATGCCGAACAAAAGCAAAAAATATCCCATTTAGCCATACTCATCCATGTGCAACACCCTCATCAAGATCATTTTCAGTTGTAACACCTGTTTGGCTTTCGATCCACGCTTTTCTTCGATTATATTGGACAAATCGCTGAGCTCCAGTTCAGTGAGCTTCGATGAAACGAAAATGGTGTCATTACATATGGCGATCACGAGTTCAATCACCAAAAATCCGAATATCCCATCAAATAAATTGACGAATGATTCCCAAACAATGTTGATAGCAAACTCCGTCGATGGATATTGATTAAAATAGGGTAGCTTCAAATTATACAATGTTTCGAATGAACCTTCATGCACAAAACTATAAAATGGCCCAAAAACAGCTCCAAGCGATGCCAGAAGTATTAGTGTCATCATAATTACATAGCGTTTCATCGATCGATAAACACTTTGTGAACAGACCAGATTGTAAGCAATGGGTTCATTATCGTCACGATAGATTAGTTTTCCAGAGATATTAAGCAAACGATACCATTCGAGTCGTAGCTTATTAATCACTACAGAACAATACGCAGCATAGCTCTTGATGTTTTGAATGAAAATTATTTGAATTTTTTTTTTATAACAATTGAAGTAAACTTTGAAAAAAATTCTGGTGATTAGTTTCCACAGGGTATACTTACTGAAGTTATACAACCAAACACACAAAATGTCGGCAGACAATCAGCAAAATTTCCTTTACTCGTATGGTAATAAACGGTGTAAATGATCAATGCGTAATGAATAACACAGGTAACGGCTGGCAAATATGCCAAAATACCATAGGGCCTTGTACCGAACACTCTGATTTGAACGACATCTCCCAAGAACAAGCCAAATTTGTAGAAAAATCTTAACTTTCGATATGGACTGGCCACATTCCATTTGGTTTTGATTATTTTGATTGGATTTACGAAAAATGGTGACTTTTTTTCCATTTTCGTTTCTTGCTTCTTTTTTTTAAATATTTGAATTTTTCTGA